AAATGAAAAATTTTATGATGATAAACTTATTCTAAACCACAAATAACAATTAACAAATGTGATCTCCTCCCTATCAAGCCTATCTAACATGGGCAATTGAATTAAAATACTAAAAAAAGTATTGCACATACAACTTGCAAGATTACAGATTTTTTACAATAAAAAAAGTAGATTAGCTAAAGAAAACATACCTATTGAAAAAGATGTTGCAAAATGGGAAAGAGCAGTAACTAATATAGCAACATTTGAATTCAATAGACTACATGATTGTAGTGGAACAAAGTTATAAGCAAATGAAATAAATTTGAATAGATGGGGGTTACTATGGTAACGGCCAAGAAACCAAACTTCTCTACTAATCAGTATTAATTGTGTCTTAATATCTATATATCATAAGTTTGCAAATAACTGATGAGAAAGGCTTTAAGAAATTAAGAGACTTGGATGTTAATCCAATTAAATGATTAAAAAGATTTTTATGTAATTCCACTAAAACACAAGCTAAATTCAATTGTACCCAATGTTTAATCGGATATCGAATATTGCCACATGTTAAATTTACCCATAGCTTTAAATGTCTGACCAAACATTTAAGTAATTATAAAAAAATCAAATTAGCTATAATGATTCATATTCAATACTTCAATTGCACTTCAAATACTCTCATATTCCCAAAATAGTCCCACCCTTGCGGTTGAAATCTTTACCTTAAACTCATTCTTATATAATATAAGGAAGATAAATTCAATTGTACCCAATGTTTAATCGGATATCGAATATTGCCACATGTTAAATTTACCCATAGCTTTAAATGTCTGACCAAACATTTAAGTAATTATAAAAAAATCAAATTAGCTATAATGATTCATATTCAATACTTCAATTGCACTTCAAATATTCTCATATTCCCAAAATAGTCCCACCCTTGCGGTTGAAATCTTTACCTTAAACTCATTCTTATATAGTATAAGGACTTATTCTCATATTATTATTCCATTTGAAAGTTTTTTAATTTATATATTGATGAATTAATTTAAATGTTAATTTGCTTTTTTTTCTTATATTTCACTAGAATATCTATTTGTGTAACATATTAATATTTTATTAACGTAACGAAAAATGTATACAAGCATACGTTCAAAATAGTGCATCAAACGTCCATCTACTATATATCTGAACGACTTTCTAATAACAGAAACTTTCTTCACATTACCATTAAAAAAAAAAAAAAAAAAGGTCCACCAACATATGAAGATTTTCTCCACCAACTTTGCCTATTTCACATCTCCCATCTACCAGAATATTGATCAACTCATTTTCCCAATAGTTTTATCTTTTTCTCACTTATTTAACATGTTTAGTGCCTAAAACTGAGTATTTTTATTCTTACCTAATAATAGGGTAATACTTAAAAAGAGAGTAGTTTGAGACTGTTGGGAATGAGTGTACAAAATTATGTAGTGGGAAAAAAGAAAGAAGCAGTCCTTGAAAATATTCAGCTCCCCTGTGACATGCATGAAACAAGATGCAATGCAGTCATTCAAGCGGAAAATGAAGCTACATTCATTCTTTGATTCAACGTTTTTGGACACAGCACCCAACACTTATTCCTTTTTCATCATAAATTAATGATACATACAACGATTGCCAGTGCAGAATGCAGTTGATTTTGCAGCTTAATTGTTTTCATCCACAGCTTGACTGTTTACAAATAAGCTCTCTCTTCTTTTAGGAAAGCCTGTGCTTTCTGGATTTGATCCTCTATATTTCAGTTCTTGGTTCGTTCTAAAATTTGGTTCAACAGCAGAAGATATGGAATTCGTATCTGTTCCACCACCACGCCTGTAAGAATTAACCGATCCTCCAGGGTATTGGGAAGGAGAGGCATATCTTCTTGATGGGTCTCGCATACCATTACCCCTCGAATCAACCACATCAGCATTCCTCGAAGAATCAGTGAATGATCTATCGCCTGAGCCAGATCCCAATGGAGCACCGGTTGTCACTGACGTGGAACTGAAAGGATCATCTGGCCCCCAAGAGGTAAGAGCTTCCTTCTTGTGGGCAAAGAAATGCCATGCTCCAAAAAGGAAAAGAATAAAAAACAGAACAGGACTCGTCCATTGCATCGTATTGAACTCGCTTCTGAAAACTGGAAGGTTGGAATGATACATCGCCACATAGCCGCTTCCAAGACTGAGAACAACTAGTCTTTCATTGTTACTTGCTACTACTGGTCTCACAAACCCTTTTTTGTCATCTATTTTTCTTTGCTGTTGGTTCAGAAATGATGCTACAATCCCATCAAAGCTTGCAGAGAACAGAAGTTTTGGTCCGCCAGCCCTAACATAATGCTGGGAAGACACATTATACACATAGATCTTCTCCGCATCACCAATAAGCAAGTACCCTTTGATTGCTTGAAATGTTAGAGGCTCTCCCATATCAAACTTCCTCTTGGATCTAACCCTACATTTGAAGTTCATTATGTCACCGAGCAACAGTACATGTATCAGATCACCTTCTGAAGTAAAACCGTATGCTTTTGACCTCTCTGTGGCATCAAAAACATAGCGTCTCACCACAGAAACGTTCAAACCTTCACAGAAAGATTCTCTAATCTTCATGGTCCTTAAATCTAATGACCCAGCACCAGTTTCTGTCAAAAAGAGAAGTCTCTGCTTCAAGAATGCCAGTGGCCTCCTTGATGGTGAAGCCAAGCCGTAAACTGTCCCATTATCCCTGAACACCCTGATCTTGCCCCTCAAATCTGTAGACAAAATATACCTCTTCCGCCCAACATGATGCACTTCCAAGATAGTGACTGGTGAAACACTATCACCAGCTTGAGGAACGTCAAACTTCACAATAACATCCATCCGAAGTGAGTTCCATTCATCCCCAGTTGAATTTTCCCAAACCCGATGCATCAAAATGGCACCATCCTCGTGCCCTGTGACAACTATGCTCTCATTCTTATAAACCGACATGTAGGATACCATAGCAGTAGTAGGCGATCTGGACAACGTGTCAAACTGACATAAAACATCTCCATTTCTTGCTAAAGCATACACTCTACCCGAATCATCTCCAACCAGAACATACTTACTGAACCCCTCAAAATCCCGGTATGGCAACACATTAATACAAGTGGGATTTGATCCAACTTTCACAGCTGACACAAATTGAAATTTCTCAGACCAAAAAGGACTAAACTTCGTAACCGACACCACCCCTACACTATCTCCATTTTTAACACTACTGTCTAACTTTCCATCTTGAATCTTCTCAGCATTCCCATCTCCATCAACCTCACCATATTCTTGCACAGTATCTTGCTTTCTATCAATGGGATATTTAACTTTTGAGCAATCTGACAACTTTGATTCTAATCTAGATAACAGTTCAGTGAAACTTTTCACTAGCTCTTCCATCTTTTCCAGTTGAATTTCCTGCCGTTTCAGTACATCTAAAGCATCACTAACCTCAGGTTTATGTTCAATAACATGCTCATTTTCAGTATCAGTTACAATTTCTGCTGAATTTGATTTCGCAAGAACCCGCATAATACAACATAAGTAAAGTAATAAAAGCAAATGAAGTGTAAAAAACTTGCCTTTTTGAGAGGTTGCCATTGAATAAGAAGCAAGATTTTTAGCTCAAAGCTCTTTTATCATTGCCTGAAGTTTCAGGAGTTTATGCAGATCCTATTGGTTGCTTTATTCTTTGTGGACGTGAAAGATATTTCAGAGCAAGATTGTACTCGTTTCTTTATGGGATTTGGACCTTTTTCCCTTCTCTTTTTTCGGGGTTTTAGGGAAGATTTTGGGAGTGGATTTAGGTCAAAAGATCGATTTTTAGATGGTCTTAGGACGTGGTATCGGGAAGACAACGAAGTAAGCAGAAAAGACGGCAACCTGTAAGAAAAGAGGAAATGAAACAAACAATAATTAGCCATTGATGCCCAAAACTTTTTTGAGTATTTGATTTTGACCCTTGGGATGTTTTGGACAACTGTAGATGCTCTCATAAACTTTAATTTTAGTCCGCCGCTTTAATTTCTTTATTTCTTCAAACAGGTCATATGAATTTAGTTCTAGACTCAATTTGCTTTTAAAGTTAAACTTGTCAAATTGAAGTTAAAGTGTTCTAAATTATAGGAGGTATGGAGAACAAAAATGGTGCGTAAAGAGATATTCCAGTCATCTCAATACATTTTTACATGATCCTTGCACATTATCTAATTGATTTTTTGATTGTGTATTTGTACCAATATGCTAACATCATTGGTTGTTTAATAGTGATTCGCCTAATTCGATCACTTAACTCTTGATTCCTCAACTTCTCCCCTTCTCCTAACAATTCGAATTAACAAAATGAACGTTGGAATGGACATATAATCTATTGCTGTTTAAAGTTTCAGCAGCGCAATTAATTACATAGAGTAACACTTTACATATCTCGAATATTGATACATCTGTGACCAATTTGTGACATACTCAAAAGATATATGCTTATTTTGCACGTGTATTCTAATTTTTGTTATTGAATTTGAAGAAGTTGAATATGACGTATTTTAGGCATAGAAAGAAAATAATTTTTTTAAAAAAAAAAATTTATTGACGTGTACTGTTGACGCCGCTATTGGTGGAAAAAAAAAACTCTAGCCGTGAAAGTGTAGAAAAGCACTTTCATTCGTCCAACAAAGAATGATTAACATGGTACTTTGTCGTCAGCACCACTACCAAATTTTATTTTTCTCGTGTAGTCAATATAATTCTTGTAGCATTTGAAGTCAAATACCACTACCACAAGGTTTTGTTGTAATTTGGATGTTTAGTTAATGTAATATTTGCTTTAAAATTGTACAGTGCATTAAATGTTATGTGCTATATGGTGGACAAGACATTGGTCAATGTCTGAGCAAAGCAACATCAAGAATTGAGGAAGAGAGACTAAAAATAGTCATGGTGCAAAAGCGATGATGAGTTGGGAGGTTACAACTACACAGGCAAATCAATGGTCCTCCTAAAGCTGAACCCCAAATTTAGCAAAGAGCCCACGTTGCATGAATTTTGTGAATCACAAGTTGGACATCAATTATCTGTAAAATGAGGACAGCATGTGTTACTTTTCTGGCACACAGGAAAGCCTAGAAAATGACAGCCTCAGATATTTCACCATCTTCTATATTCCTTGTATTTCCTCTGATTGCAGAAAGAAGGTAGCAGAGTTGTGGCAGGCGCCATTAATGGTGGTGGTGACCGGTTGCTAGGCTGTAGACCATGGCATGCGGGAGCACACCAGCACGTAAAGTGATGGTGGTCGCGGATCCCTGTCGCGAATCAGCTGCTGCACTTCAATATGCCCTCTCCCATGTAGTGCTTGAAAATGACACGTTAATTCTCCTCCATGTTGAGAATCCTAATAGTGCCTGGAGAATCCCATTTGGTACAATCTTCAGAAAAGCACAGTCGCTCCCTGCTTCTGCCGGTGCCGCCTCCATGTCCTCGTCCTCATCCTCATCCTCAGAAGGTTTTGTTGGTGGTGGTGGTGGTGGAGGGACCATAGATTTTCTCGAAGCAATGAAGCAAGCTTGTGGTATTGCACAGCCTAGGCTAAAAGTTCGTGTACAGAGGGTGGAAATGGATGGAAAGGACAAGGCTTCTGTACTTCTTGCACAAAGCAAAAGTCATGGGGTTGATGTCATTGTTATAGGGCAAAGGACGACTCTCTCCAATGCAATATTAGGGTGAGTTTTCTATTTTCCCCATATACATCATCCATGCATGTTTATAATACGCATAGGGTATACTAAAAGAGATTTTGCACTAGGATTTACATTTGTTCCCCTGAGATGTTGATGTTAAACTTGCAACAATTTCTCAGTTGATCATCAAATTGATCAAAGCAAAATTATCTGAATCTCTTGCTGACCTTAGCTAATACCCTACGCAGAATAAAGGCAGAAAGCAATTTTAAAAATCGGTGAAACCAGGAGAAAAGTTTATATTTACTTGTTCCTGCGTATAATCATTATGATATTTATTCAACTTCGATGAATTCTTCCAGAAAAGAAGTTCCATCCTCAATCAGATTAACTATGCCATCCTCTTTTAAGTGTTGTGCTCATGTTCCTATCTGCATTTGTGAGCAGGCCTAAGCGAAGTAGATCATTAAGGGGTCTTGATACGGCGGAGTATTTGATCGAGAACAGCAAATGCACTTGCGTTGGAGTGCAGAGAAAGGCCAATGGAGGATATCTTCTCAACTCAAAAACCCACAAAAACTTCTGGCTACTGGCTTGAGGATATGATATATTACTTACTGTAGTTTGTAAATGATTCAGAGCCTCTTCCTCTCCACCTGTTTTCCAGTTGATGTTGTACAATCGATTATTGCTTTTGAGTATTTTGGTTGAAATAGAGGTAGATGAACATATACAATAAGTGCTAAAGTGCAAAGGCTGATAGCAAATGCTACTCAAAACAGAGGCAAGCTCAACAGGGTTGTATTACATAGCTCACGTAGCAGTAGGCTAGTGACATGCATGCTTATCCAGGTGCTAAAGAAGTGTACTTGGGAAAAAGTCCATGTGTGTAGTCGAATAGTCTACAAATTTTACAACTTAGAATAGCTCAATCTAGCTAAAAGTGTAACTAGGGAAAAGTAAGTTACTTGTGTACTGAACTTCTCTAAGTTCTACCCCCAAAAAAAAAAAACTTCTCTAAGCATATTTTCAAGATGTCCTCCAAAGAGCAGGCGAATCCAATGTAGAGCTAAAGATGACACTGAAGAAATAAAGGAATAGAAAGAGAAGGACGCATGATAAGCTTTTGTATTACCTAAAGATACAGAACAAGAATCATACAGCAAACCTGTGGGAAAAGGCTTCTGAGATCCTGTTCAAGGGGGAAAATATTGCCTCCTGATGTCAAAGCATAGCAATTCAATATGAGGCCAAGCCTCAACCATACAAGAAAGAAGACCTATAGAAGATGTAAAAAAGTTTGGCCAGAAATTTGATTGAGAAAGCAGGGCAAAATATAGGACCTATACAAAGCTATGAAAAGCTTAAAGCTCGTCACGCATATGCCGTTCCAATGGCACATCCAACAAGGGAACTGCATCCTCGTTCATCTGGGGAATATTTACACCATTTCCACGACCTCTAGGTAAAACCCCTGCTTCGTTTACCACACCACCTTTTACAGCATCCATAAGCGTCCTCTGCAACTTAAGCAGCCCAATACGCTTTGAAACAACATAAAGAACAGCAAGGGAAAAAAGAAGAAATCCAACAACCATAATTATCCTGCCCATGGAAAGCCAAGCATTAGACTAGCAGATGCAGGTCAGAAGCAAAAGTGCAGATACATTTTCTCCTCTACCTGTCAATGACATCCTGACGTTGCATTGTCGAAAGAAGGTTTCGAGTTCGCATTAGGAGTGAGCGGTGACCTCTGTACTCGCTCTCAGCCTTCCCTAATACTCCAGTTGATTCTTCTGCAGTATTCAAAAATTATATTTTGTTATTCAGCTTCAACAAGTACAAATTCATGAAAGAATAGACAGCTCCATATTTCCCAATATTATGATAAACAAAAGACTAGCTAATCTTGCAATAAAATGCCATGCAGCAGGATGAACAGAGAAAATTTCTTCCAATGCTCTTAGTAGAAAATCTTTGGAGACATATCTCAGCCAAAAATGTAACAATCTAAATTCTTAAAAATAAATCTCCAGCGCAAGTATTTGAGGTGCATTATTAATCGTCTAGTTTTGAGATTAGAATACATCTCATCACCTCAACTTTATTAAACAACGAATATAGTATTTATATTGTGACCTTAATTAAGTAGTTATATCAGATATATGGAATAACCAAACAAAAGCATTCAGAAACATCAGTATTAGAATTTGAAATGAGAATCACGCAGCAGACTAGCTGAAGAATTAAATGTCAATCATCTTCCCCAGCTAAACAAAGTCACTTTCTCCAGGCCCCAATTTAATGGAACTGCATATGCCTACTTTTAGTCAACATTCATTCTATTTATCCAATTCAAGACTGACCCACAAAGAATGCTTGAGAAACTTGTGCATAAGAATAAAATAACAGCTAACTAGTATTATTTGCTTAGGAAAAAGGTAAAAAATAGTATTTTGAGATAGAAGATACTAGTTCAAGAGCAAATATCTATATTAGTGAAAGAGAACTCACCAAAAGTCATAAGTGTGCTTGCACTTCGTTCAACTTCCTGTAAACATTTACTAATGAATGAGAAACTATCATATACACATCAGGAAAAGGAATAACGGAGACATATAGGTACTAACCTGGACCATCAGCTGACGGGTGCGTCGAAGGCTCTCAGTGATACTTCCAGCTGCAGATGTCATTCCTGCTTTTGTCCTAATAAGTAATATGACAATATAGAACGTGTAAAGTCATATTCTTGATCAATAAGGATTCCTCTATCATTCCTAAAACCACAAGAGACAATCATGTAAGGTTTTAGCAAAGCAGAAGCATATTAGACTTACTGTAGATTCCGCCTCCGAATGGTAGACTCTTCTCCACCTCCCAAAAGAAGCTCCCTCTGCAGTCAACCAACAATATGCAGTTTAAACACCTAACAAGCAGTGGAGCCAACATAATGTAGAAAGCTCATTACCTCTTGTTGAGCAGTTTTTCTGATATTCTCCTTCGCTCTCAGATTAGCTTTTCTCAAACTTGATCTCAAGCTGCATCTCCAACAAAATAAATGTGTAACATATCACCATTTAGATATTCCTCACAGATATGTAATGTAGCCATGTGTTAACATAAACACATCTCATTGAATCAATCATTCATAGCAACAAAAGTCACAAGAAGATTTCTGCCAACAATTTCTGGAGCTGACATAATCTTAGTCTGTGGGCATGTAGCAAGCAGTAAGCTAAACTCCTAAGTAAACTACATAGGAGGAGGTCATACCAAATAATTTAGACTCCACCAAAACAAAATGGTGTCTGATTTGCATGTTCATGTATCTGCTTTCAGATTTCTTGAAATGATAAACCATATGCTGCTACATTAACTTCACTTAAACTACATAAATGCAATAACAACTCCTGCTGATGTCAAATAAACCATCTGTAAGAAAGAACAGCAACCAAGCTGTGGAAAAACAAAGTGGCCCTACTTTACTGCATGTCTTACAACAGTCAAAAACAAACAAACTAGTGTCATCAAAACAACATGCAGGTTATTAAACTCTGATTAAGATAGCCATTCTCTCACTTGCTCACACATACACGCGCGCGCGTACATTCTCTCTCTCTCCCACAACATCATATATGAATACAGGCTATATATATGCTCAAAACAAAATTTTTCTTTGTGTGCCATACCCAGCAGCCAAAAGAAACAACAAGTAGAAAGACTTAAACTTTGTAAAGATTTATGACATGAAACAAAACTATAAACCCCAGAGTGAATCTACAATGAAAACTTCTAGTTCTTGACATGACATTGATTTAAGTTCCTGAAAATAAATGGTCAAGAATTCATCATGTGACCTTGTATAACACTTCCAGATCAACCAATTTTAACACAAATCTCTGATTTCAATAAATTTATCAGCAAACCTGAAAAGATTTCCGCATTTCAATCATCTAAACATCTTAAGCAATTAAACTATCCCAAGAAATGCCTACGAATGTCCACAAACTGGTTGCATATATCAACAAAATTTTCACATGTATCTACGAGCCTTCCAATCCCATGTCATAATTTAAAATACAGTAATACACATTAACAAAGCAAACCAGCACAATCCTTGTCTTATCAGAATATAAAGTTTCCATTTTTCAATTCATTAAGTCACCTACATTTTACACTCAAAGAAGCTCCAGAAAAAAAATTACAAAAAAACACAGTTAAATATTAATATTAAACCGAAAAGGGTGCCCCTAAAATTTGTTAACATGAAAAAAAAAAATGAATAAAGTGGGTACCTTTCGATTTGCTTCTGCCAAGAATTAGCCAAATCTTGAGCCTGTTGAGCTTGATCATCAGAGGGAAGTTGAGGGGCTAAGAGATCAAGCTTAAAATGGAGCGACTGCAGAAGATTCAAACCATCTTGAGCAAGCCCATTTAATCTTGGTAATGAATTTTTACTCTGATGGTGCTCTTCTTCTTCTACTGATGAGGATGATAATTTTTGGCTGGATTTTCCATATTCTTCAATTGATTTAATATTTTTTGAAAGCTGTTCTTCTGTTTCTCGAAATTCTTTCTTCACCTTCTCCACTTCCTCTACCACTGGGTCCATGTCGTTTTTCATGCTCTTGGCGGGTCGTTTTGAGGTCGAAGATTGGAGGCTATGGTGGGATTTTTGTAAAAGAAACTGGAAGGAGGAAGGAATAGAAAAGGGGCCCGGTTTTTGAAGTAAGGACGGTTTGCACCGGTTGGACCGGCTGAGATATGACAGTGGGATGGTTCGACCAATTTTTATGCAGTAACGCCTTAATTTCCTTCACTAAGGTGGAAAAAAGTCCTTATTTTTAAGTTTAAACACACTAATTTGAAACATTAGTGTATTTGAGTTGAAGATTATTCTGAAAATTTTTCCTGTTGTTTAACGAAACATTTTTTTTGACGTGATATAAATGAAATAAAATAATAATTAAAAAAAAAAGATAATGTAAAAAAGCGTTTGAAAAAGCTCAATGATTTTGCAAAAGTTACAATTCAAAATTTTAAAGGGGGCTTTTTTTTTCTGAGAAAAAAGAATGCTGGCCTAGTGGCATTAATACTAATAGTGGAATATGTCAAAGAGACTAGAAATTATAGTGCAAAGCAATCTCAATCCTATAGATGATGAAATCAAATTTTGCATAATCAACACCACCACATCATATCACAAGGCAAATGAGAAACATCCTTGAATTAAAAGCTAGCTCTGTTGGATCCTTAACTGGAAATAAAAGGCATAAATAGAACATATATGGTCATTGTGAATAAGTGTAAAAATGATTGCCTGATCCAACAGGTCAATCAAAGATGGCATATAAAACTGTGGAAAAAAGGAACAACTTGATGTATTATTAATCAGTAGGCTAAAGACAGTTGAATCAATACATTGATATTCCATCATAAGAACTAGACTCCTCAAGTCTGAAATGGAAAAGAACACTACTGCAATTTGGATTCTAATATGGACTACTATCTAATAAACTTTGAAGAGCTTACAAATTGAAACTGCACAAGATAAAGAGTATGTTTATGAATTTCTCTTAAACCCCAACTTGAAAAAGAAACTATTGCTACGCAACTGTGCAGAAAAGATTGGAACTTTAATCACTCAGAAAACGTTATTCTTGATAGCTAGACTATCTGAAGTAAGAAAGCAACAAATCTCGAGCTCAGAAAGCTGTCAATTTGTAGTAGCAACTCTTTCCAGTAAGAAGAATC